TCAAATGGTATCTCTATTTGCAACTTTTTGAGAAAGCGCCACACCGTCTTCCACAGTGGTTGCACCATTTTACACTTCCACCAACAGTGAATAAGGGTTCCAGTTTCTCCACAACCTTACCAGCATTTGTTGCTTGCTGTTCTGTTAAATTTTGCTATTCTGACTGGGGTGAGATGATATAGTTGTTCTGATTTGCATCTCTCTTAGAGCTAGGGATTTTAAACATTTCTTCGTCTGTTCATATCCTGTACCAATTTTTCAACTGGATTATTTACCTTTATTTTGTAGTGGTATAGCCATATATTTTTAAATGAAGAATCATATTCTCAGGTAAATGGTGACCAACACTTATGGCCATGTAACTCTTAAATGCAGAGAAGTGAAAACAAAGATTCCAGAAGCCATCACCACAATACTTATTTTTACTAACAAAACTAAAGACTCCAAATACATGTAGACATCATTTTTTTCCTTTACGTTTTAAAATAGTCTTGTGTATGTACAACGTTTCTAAATCTAGACACATTTTGGAAAACACAATTACAGGCACAAAAAACTCTTTAAGAAATGAAGGTGAGTTGTTCCATAATCTGAATTCAAAAACTTATCACTAGTACATGGAGTTCTTTAAATGCTCTTTCTTTTGGTGTGCCGTACTCCCCTGACTTCAGTTCTGACAGCTTTAATTTCTACTAAGCAGAAGTTCAGATAATAGACATAAGAACACACCTGGTTAATATTTGGTGAGTGAGTGGGAAGGTATCTACATAAGGAAATTTTAACAAACCTATGTGAATAAAATCTCCATTAACAGAAACCTTGTCATGTGGAACGACTTTTGGGAGTCATTTACCACACAAGTATTTTATCATTATTTCAGCATGTCACTTCAAAAGACTGTTAGGTTATTGTATACCTTTGAGTCGGAACTGACACATAGCTGACCCTCAAGCAGGTTTGTAGAGGCAGTAAATAGCACAGAGGGAGACTGCCCATCTTTCTCTTGTGTCTGAAAGCTTAGTAAGTGATTCATACTCACAGGTAGACACAGCTGACTAGAGGCCAAGACAGCTGGATGTTGCCTGGTAGTCTAGTGGCTGAAGGCTGATTTTGAGGCTCAGAGTGAATTCCTGAGCAGAAATGGAAAGCTTCAACACTGTTTGCAGCTGAAGCCATAATGGTTGTTGTTAAGGTGGGCTGAGCCTCGTTAGCAAACTCTTACTTTATGGTTTGAGCTGGATTTGATGGGGAAAGTATTTTTTGGATGATGTGAGTTTTCTGGTATTGTGAAAGGTCTTCTACAAACAATTCCCCCTCAGCTCATTACTGACAGCAAATGACCCCAGGATCATGTGTGGCAACCATGCTAAAATGCCTATTACCAAGCCCAGGGAGTCAGTTAAAAATACAATCTTTATAAGTATTCCAATTTGAAAGAAGATAATCATGACTTAACAGTGCCAGCAATGTGAGAGGTACCACTTAGAAATTGAAGGTCACAGTTTAGTGTGTCAGCCCCACATAAGGTTCATCCACTCCCAGAACTGCCCAGGTACGGAGGATAGTTTTATTACAGATTGATGTACTTCTTCCTCCATGATAAAAAGTATAAAATAGGGCTGATAAAATGGTTAGCCAGTCACCTGTGGACAAGAATAAAGCCATTAGAAAACCAAATCTTATTGTTTACGAGGGCTCTTGAGTATCCTAGATCACCTGAGTAATCCCATGACAACAAAGATTCATATAAACACATAAATCTTAGCAATGAAGTTACTGAGGATAGTTCAATCCAAATTAATGTCCCAATTTTTTAATAAAAAAGTCAAGTAATAGTTAAATTTTCTGGATTAGAACACTGTTTTCCATATGTATTAGTGCAGACTAGTGCTTTTATGCTAGTGCATTTCATCAAAGGTAAGATTTTTATCACTCAAAAAGAGAACAAAAAATAAGAAAATTCATTGCATATTCATACTTTGATAAGTTTATTTTTAAAAACTACTAAATTAATTGAAGGGACCTAGATAAAATTTAATTATGTTTACGTTTATCAGCCACCTGAAATCGTACCAATTTTTCTTTAATAATTCGTTTATAAAATGTTGAAAAAAATTGAGGTCGTGTCTATTTTAATTACACATTAATGGAAAAATGATCTAGAGCTGCCAATGCTGAGTTGTTGCTATTTTTTTACATAAAGTGGTCATTACAAAGCTTCCTTTGAACATTATCCTTGACTTCATAAAGCCCATTTGCCTGGACAATAACTGCCTTGGACTGCAGCACAGCTTTTGGGGTTTAATCAAGTGTCTGCAACTTCTGCTAAAAATGAGACACCTTCATTGAGCTCAATATGCATTCTTAAAAATACGAAGGCAGGCAAGCACAGTGCACAAAAGGAAGAGTTCAATTCCCTTGTGAAAAGTTTTTGCCCACAAAGCAGCAGTCTTCCCTTAACCCATTAAGTCTCTTCTCCAGTTTTGGAATAGTGCCCATGGAAAATTTTGAAAAAGTATCATCCTGGGGGGTTATCACATTCTATAGCTACTGAGAGACAAAAAGAATGCCCTCCCTTATTCCCTGCTTCCATGTTATGTACAGAAGACTGGCTGCCACAGAGCCTCATGCATAGTGGCTTAGACTGATGAAAAGAAGACAGCTTTTTGGTTAGAGCAATATATGCCTGCAGACAACACCAAGAAACATGCAAACACTATCAAGAGTCCAACTGTGAGAAATTCAGATTCTACACCAGTGAGGCAAATGCTATCAGAGCAGGCTGATATAGACGGCTTCTCCACTCATGCTCTAACTGTAGAGGTTTTGGAACAAAAGAGACCTGTGAAGGTATATGCATTTTTATTTTGTCTCTTTCAGGATTCAGAGCTGGCCTGTGCTCAGCATTAAGCCACCTAGTGGTTTTTTATTCAAATGGTTATTTTAGTTTTCTTTTTGCAGCTTTTTACCCCTCTGCGAAGAGCTAAGTTCAAATGCTGGAAGCTGTGAAGTCTCTGGTTCGAGGATGTCGGAGAGGAAGTAGATGGCACCAGCCATGCCTGTAATATCAAACAAGGATACTTTACCAATGGGTGCTATGTAGTGTCTACAAAGCAACTTCTAATTATTTCCTTACCAAGATTTATAAGGAGAAGGGAAAGGAACTGACAGTTTTAAAAATTACTTTATGAAAGTTGTTTTCAACATTAGAAATCCTTGTACCAATACCTAGCAGGTGTTTACTATGTCAGTATATACATTTTTTTTTAATTAAGGAAAGATTTTTAGATTGCCTTTGAGGTTTATGTTGGAACATTAAGGTGATTCTTTAAAGGATATTTTATAAAAAACGTTGTGAATGTCACTATTTAAAATTAAAATTTCCCCTCTTTAGAGACTTTATACTTTTATTCCATTCAAACACCATTATTTTCATGCAGATGTTATTTCCCAACTGAATCCCCACAGTCACCAAAACATGGGTTTTAAACCCCACTCAAAGGAGTTTCTAAAAAATAGAGGCAAGGACAGCTCCAGGGCTCCAGGTCTCATTCAAAACTCAGAACTCATCGTGTTCAAGTTGGAACCAACTCATAGCAGACCCTCCAGGGAATTGTTGAAAAGGCTGAAAATTGCAAGGGAGGAAATTATCCACATTTCACTCTCCCAGGCCCTGGTGGATTTGAACCACAAGAAAGGTATCACCTCTGGGTAAGCAGATCATCTCCCTACACACAGACCTCACAGACACTTTTAATGAAAATAATTCCTCCCCTAAAGGGTTTTGCTTATATTGATGTAAAATTGCACATAATGTAATAGATGTTACATGCATTTCCAGCACTGCATGCATCCACATCAAAGTCCTTAATGGTAAACACATCATCATTCATGATCCTGGGTGTCCTTTCCAGAGAGCTCTAGTATCCTCATCTCCCAGAGGCAACTACTGTTCTAATTTTATTCCACCAAAATTTCTTTGCCCGTTTCAGAACTTCATAGAATCATATAGTATAGCTGTTGGCACTTTTCTTCTTCTTTTATTTTTGCATATTTTTTCCAGAACCAAAATGTTATTTATTTAATATATTCAACAAAAAGCCTCAAACAGAGACTTAATTAAAAAAAAAACAACACATAACAAAACAAAAAAGATACCGCAGCTTCAGATATAGAGTCTTATACAGAAATCAGGGAAAGTATAAACCAATTAAGGAAAAAAGATGACAACACAAGGAAAGGGGCTGGACAGACCAGGTCAGGGCTCTTGGCTGGAGACTTGCTTCAAGTAGGTTTCCTGTAGGTACTTCTTAAAGGTCACAGGATTTTTCCAGAGTCCGGCAATGTGTGTGTTCAAAGGGCTATTGATGTTGGGACAGAGAAGAGGATGGTTCTGCCATCACAGAGGGTGGACCACTTGTACTTCAATATGTCAAGGCAGATATTATCCTGAGTATCCACGCTGGGAAGGGAGCTAGGAGTGAGGGATGTCACCGTGGGTGTGTTGTAAGGGTAGCCACTAGGGAACTCTAGGGAGAGCTTATATCTCAGGTCTTCATATATTGTGCAAGCTGCTTCATGGATGGTCCCCACACATTTGAAAAGGTTTTCTAGATTCAGCAAAGGCAGATCCCTTTGTTACTAGACATCATAAGGATCATCAGCTCCTGAGTAGCCTCTTGCTAATGGAGCCCTGAGCAACATCTGGGCACCTTTCTGAGTGGTGACAATGCTGGCTGTGGCTAGGTCATTGTTCTGGGAAGCCATCCAGTTGGCAGAAGACAACACAACTCAGAAGACACAACAGCAACTGCCACAAATTTTTAAATTTTTTTATTACATTGTATTTCATTCATGTACTACTGTCTACACAATCCTTCATTCATATTGGGCTTCATGCAACCATTCTTGTACACTAAATTTCATAAACCAATCACTATCACGATTGATCTATGCCTATTTTCATGCATCTCTTCAAGTCCCCATTGACTCTCTCCTATTTAATGCACTTCCATCCCTGTCCCATCTGCCCACTAAACTCTGCTATCCCAGTGACCCACACCCTCCTCCAATATGGCAGGTGTGCTCTCATGGATGTGCATATAATAACCAGCTTTTTGTCACTGCTGAGAAGAAGGCCACACTTTCTCATTTTCCTATTGTGTTTGATGAAAGAGCTCCAGTAGTTAAAAGCCCAAAAACAACTGAACTATTAGAACCTCTAAGGGGTAAAACCGAAAACAAAACAGTGATCCATGCATAATGCCTTCAAGAAGGAGCCTAGGACATTGTGGCCAAGCTGAAAAGGAAAACTCTTGCTTTGGCTGGGTAGGGAATAGACCAACCCGAGGAAGCGCTTGTTGAGAAGAGCTACAGGTCTCCTTCACGACCACAGGACACTCATATCTCCACTTATCCAACAGGAATTCACTTAGTGAAATTGCTGCTAGTTCTGTATGCCAGGCATTTTGGTGACATATGGAGAAAAGCAACCTGCTAAACTCTCAGCCTTTAGGGAATTATAGACTCATAGGTTTTTTCACATACTGGGACTTGGAAGTTGCTATTATAAACTGGCATGAACTCCACCAAAGAGTTCAGATATGATGAGGGGAGGGGAAAACCAATATAATCTTTGACAAAGTTTCAGTGAATTTATTTGGAATTAAAGTCACATTTGGATGAGAAATCATCAGTTAACATAGGTGAAAACAGGTCTATTTCCTATCTTGGTGTTATTTTAATGCCTAATAAATTCTTTGGACCTTTGTTAGAGGTGTGAATGGTTTCTCTGCATGCAACAGTTGAGACTCATCCAGGATCCTGAGACTAAGCACACTCTGTGTAACTAAGGAGGGTGAGATGAAAACTTGGTGCTCAAACTGAAAGTGCATTGTGCATTCTCGATTATCTGAGGACTCAGATTCCAGGTCCAATTTCGGAATTGAACCTCTGCTAACTGTAGAATTTCTGTGAGAAGTTATCTGACTTCTATATCCTTTCTCTTATGTTGTGGACATCATGAACAACTCTGCTAAGCACAAGAGACCTAACCCTAACCCTAACCCTAACCCTAACCCTAACCCTAACCCTAACCCTAACCCTAACCCCACCCCCTCAGTGGCCCCATCCTTCCTTTTCTCTAAGAAACACATATAGCATTCCTTGGTTTTATGTGCAAGTATTCTTTGGTGAAATACAGAATGCTACTTCCAAAGGTATTCCTGATCCAAGCCATGGTGTTTTCTATTGCTTCATATGTGTTGACAGTTGGAAAATTAAAATTAAAAAAAAAAGAGAGAAAGAGAGAAGAATCAATGCCTCTGAATTGTGGTTTTGGCAAAGAACATTGAATCCCTCTAGAACAACAAAACACACTGGTCTTGTGTGTTCTTCTAGCAGAACAAACACACTGGTCTCAGAAGGACAGCCAGAGTGCTCCTTAGAGGATGGTGGGACCTGGTTCGATAAACTTTCAGCATTTTTTCAGGAGGGGCCAGTCACTGGAAAAGAACAGCATGCTAGAAAAGGTAGTGGGTCAGAGAAGGAAAGAAAGATCCTTACCGAGATGAACTGACACAGTAACTGCAACACTGATCCTAACTTCAACAATGACCTTGAACATTTTGGAGATTGTGAGGCAAGGTTTAGATCTGCTGCTATGATTCAGAACCGATGGGACCTAACAACTTTAAAAGGGTGCTCAGGGTCCTACTGAGACCCCTTGGTGCTTTTATGGTAGAATACTATGGGTTCCAAGTCTGTGTTATACCCTGGGTGACAGAATGCATTTAATTCAAAGAAGGATGCAAAAAGATTTGGGGATTTTTAGCTAAATAGATTTGTAAGAAAATCAGAAATAAAACCTGAACATAAAAAAAAATTGAAGCTCTGATAAAAGAAAAATCACTAATAAGTGATCTGATTTTTTGTAAATCAGAATTACCATCTTCTATCATCAGAAGTGGGCTGGCTAAGAGAAATACAAACATATTTTTCCATTATGCATGTTTGGTTTTTTGGTTCATGATGGTTTATAGCTTTTGTCTCTTGTAGTATTACTACTTTCATCATTTACATCTTTCCTCCATTTATCAGGATGTTGCTTGTTGGTGCAGTAGTGAGGATTTTTGTTATCTTTATGCTGAGGTATATTCCATACTGATGGCTTTGATAGTCATCAGTAACAGTAATTCAAGTCTTCTTTGTTTTCACCAAGCAAGATTGTATCATCTGTGTATTTCAGGATATTAATAAGTCTTCCTCCAATACTTAAGCTGTGTTCTTCTTCATATGTTGTTGTGTATTACTGAGTCAGAACCACCTCATAGCTGACTATGAGTTTTCAGAGACTATAAATTGCACAGGAGGAAACTGCCTATCTTTATCCCACAGATCGGCTGGTGTATTCAAACACAGTGCCTTTGGGTTCGCAACAGAACTCTTCATCACTGAGCCACCAGTTTTCTTCTTCTATAAAAAGATTTTAAAAAAAAACCCCAACCAATCTTCTAAAAACAACTGGATGTATAACTCTGTGACATACAGAGAGAATTACACACCATCACCAAATGCAGTTTATTCCAGAATGCAAAGCTGGCTCAATATTTTTAAAAACAACAACAAACCCAATCAATGAAAATATAATATTGACAGGCTAAAAAAAATTAAAATTGTATAAACGAATTAAATTACTATCAATTTATCAAAATACCTTTCATTATTTCCATGGATTATGTTAAAATTTTCTAATTCATACATGCACACATAAATATATTTAAATACATCTTTTTTTAATTTCCTTATAGGATTTCTCTTTTGTTTTCTTGAATTATATTATGCTTTGTGTGCTTGTAGCAGACTCTTTTAATTATTCTCTTTTACAGAATTCCTGTCATTTATTTCTCTTTAGAACTTTTTCTAATATTCTTATTTGTTATTTTTCTAACTGCTAGTATTATTCATACCCCCTATAATTTAGGTAATTGAAGCAGGAGTGGCATCCACTTCTGAAATAGCTTGCCTCTGGAAACTCTATGAACTCAGGTCTTTGGTTCATAGTGTCACTATGAGTAGTCTACGACTCGACAACACTTAACAACAACAAATATATTTAAAGAACAATTGAGATGCTCTGCTGGAGAAGGATGGGCAATCTCCTCCTGTACCAGTCAGAACCAATTTGACGGTACACATACACAAAATAAAGAAATAAAATAAAAACCACAAAACACCAATTGAGGCTTTCTGTGAATAATATCAATATTATATACACAATATTATAGATGAAATGCAGTTTATAGATGAAATTCTAAATTAAACACAGATTTCTTTTTTCTATTACTGAACAGCATTTTATGTTTCCTGAATATATACTTCATAAAAGGTCTAAAAATATGTGAAAGATGGTTACAAGTAGAAAATAGACTCAAGATAATTTTCAGCAAGAAAATAACTTGTCAACAATTGCTTTTTAGATCTGCAGATACTTTAACAGTCAGTCTGGAAACAAAGGTGCGCCTGATCCAGGCTTGGTCTTCGCAATTACTTGTTATGCATCAGAAAGCTGGACAATGACTAGGGGTAATAAAAGGAGAACTGATGCCTTTGAGCTGTGATGCTGGAGAAGAATATTGAATAGACCATGGACTGCTAGGAGAACAAAGGCGTTCATCCTGTTGAGGATGAAACCAGGGTGCTCCCTGGAGACAAGGATTCTAAAGCTCTGTCTGATATACTTGGGACATGTTGTAAGGAGGAATCAGTCCTTGGAGAGGGACATCATGCTTGGGAGGGTGGAGGGACAGTGCAAGAGAGAAAGAACTTCTACAAGATGGACTGACACAGTGACTGGGATAATAAGGGTACATGTGTCAGAGACAATAAGGTTGATTCAGGATAGAACAGGGTTCAGAGCTGTCGTACATGGGTTCACTATGAGTCTCAAGCAACTTGACGGCACATAACAACAACAACACCCATATATGAGGAAATTTAATAGTATTAGTCCACAAAGCTCTGTTATCATAGTCTGGAGGGACCTGAACTGCTAACCCAAAGGCCACACTTTACTGGTAGTTGGAATAACCTTGTTAGAAAGATGGGCAATTTCTTCCTGTTTGATTTACTGTTTTAGAAATCCAATAGAGGGTCATTTATGAGTTGGTTCTGACTTGATGGCAATGAGTGAGTTAAAAAAGAAACAGAAGAGCCAATTTCACTTACTTAAATGTTTGAATCTGTGGTGTTTTTCCTTTCTCTTACCTTCAAACAGAGAATAAGGTCTGTCAGGAATGCGGCACCCATGTGCTCCATAATCAAGACACCACTCTGCAAACTGAGAAGAGAGACATTTCTTTCAAAGAGCAGAGCTAGAGTTCATGTGGTAAAAGTGAAAGAAGACAGCAATGATGAGTAACTTTTGAACTTAAGTTCTTTAGAAGTCATTTTCCCTTATCAACTACCTTTGTAGATAAGTACTACTGTGACTTTTAATTGGTAGTCAAGATACTATGACATATACAGTGTAGAGACAACGGTGGGAAACAAGTTAAAAGAAAGAAGAAGAGGGTTTTTTACCTTGCAAGCTCTGTAGAGGTATTTTCTGTCTTGTGTGAGATGATACAGAGACAGGAAGGAATAGCCATTTCCAGCTGTTCCATGACAGATCCCATAGCCCTTCCGTAATAACCCTCGCTGCCAAATCACATCACTGCACTCCATAGCATCCTTCAAGTACTTCTCCTCTTTAAAAACCTGGCCAATTAAAAGCACAGCAGTTTGAAGAGATGTTTTTAATGCAGATTCATCTCAATATTTCTTTCTTGTTAAAAACAGACACTAAAAATGTAGCATGGCTTTGAAGATTTTTTAAAAGCTAGCAACACTACACAAAGTACCTAAAATCTAAGTCTCCTGGCCTATTCCTCCTTGTCCTCTTCCTAGTTCATGCTTTGCTAAAACAATTACAAAAATTGTTTTAGCAAAAAACGGCAGAATATTTTGCCATAAAGAAACCACTCTATATTTCCTGGGTCACAAACTCTATCATGCTAAAGCTTCTAAGCCTATGCAGAGGTTAGTTGAAGGCTGGTGATGTACAATGTCTGGTCATTTGTAGCAGGGATTTTCAGTATCCTGGATGTGCTCTATATCACACGACCCAGGGTCACACTGATTGTGATAGTTTTCCTCAAGGAAATCTATACAGAGCTTTTTTGAGTTCCAGGAAACTTGTGTGCCAGCTTGTAGAATTTAATGTTCCATCTCCACTCGGGTGTTCATATTTCCAGCTTCAGAGACAAACAAGCTCATTCATAAGCTATTTGTTGACTTGAAGCTGACACAATTGTGAAGAGTGACCTGTCTGTGTTCACCTTCCAAGACTTACTTTTGAATTCTCATCTTTCTCTTGACATTTCATTTCTTCCTGGTTCTTTCTCAGAACAGTAATTTTTACCTGTTTAGCATATTTTCTCCCTACTGCAAATTAATTTAGGAGAAACAATCTCACTTAGAGATGATCTATTTGTGGAATACCAAATAGGTTTTTCCTAATTGTAAATGATTATAGTAGTCTTTCTGGGCTTTTTGTTGAGAAAGATTCTGAATAAATAAGATAGGTAGATCTCAAAAAAGTACAACTATGATCAGTGTCCAGAGTTTAGGAGAAAAGGAACACCATGGACCTCTGGTAGGATAGCCTTATGGAGTTGCACTGTTAACCCAAATGCCACATCTCACTGGCTATTGAATCTACCAGGAGAAAGGAAGCAATTCCCACCTACCCCCAACTTGTGATTTACAGCTGGGGAAACCTGCAGGAAAGTCAGGGTTACGGTTAGAGTTAGGCATCCCTGGAATTATAGGTCCCTCCATCTGGAAGTCCTTGCCTCCATGGCTGCAGGGCCATGCCAGGGTCCAAGGAGGACAAGAGATTTTAGTATACAGAACTTCAAACAAAAAGAATTTTCGTAGCTCTCTTTGACAGAGGGCTGGCCAGCGAGCCTCTCTCTGTATATATATATGCAGAGCAAGTGGCAGTCCTGATCTCCCACCACAACAGAGACAAAGGAGAATACTAAGCTGCAAGAAAAAAGGTGAGGGGAGGTGTGGCTCGGTGCTAAAAGTGATCACTCTCCATTCTTTGTAGGGAGAGAGAACTGAGGATTTCCTGGGATAACAGAACGATCCATTTGGGGGTTCTTGCCTCCACAGCTGTGGGGTCATCTTAGGGGCAAAATAGGACAACAGGCTTTAATTTACAGAACTAAAAGCAGAGTGAAAATAGTTTTGTAGCTCTCTGTGAGAAAGGGAGGGGTGACGTGAGACTCCCTGAACGCAAGCTTCTTTGAGCTGGCAGACCTGATCTTGAAACTCGTGCCAATCAGAGACAAAGGAAGAGATTAAGCTCCAGGCAAAAAGGTGCATAAGAACCTGCTTGAGCCATGCAAAGGTAATAAAGGAGGTCAGAATTGCTTCCACTGTGGAAAGCTGGGCCACTTCAGCAGACAGTGTCACAGACAAGAGCCACAGATAGGCAAGGGAGTAGAGAGGAAGTTCCCACTCACTTGCTTTAAGTGTGGATCTGAAGGAC